GAATGCCCAGAAATGAAACTTCAGATGCCTAGAGATCTTTAAGGCACATATCTGAGCTGTTAAGTTAATTTAGGCACTTCTAGGCTTAAGTGGCAGCTGAACAAGGGTTTTTGGTAGTGGCTTTGGATTTAAGAGCCTGGATTCCTTTTTTAATTGCATTTTAAGTGATGAATTCCCATTTTTGGATTTAGCACAGTATCAAGATAAGGATTTATGTAATGCATAGTTCTTACATTTATCCATTAGCAGTAATAAGAATAAAAGCAATAATGACTGCATCCCATTCTACTATTTGGATAATTTGCGCCTGAGCCCACAAATATTTCGTTTCTTGCTCTGCTAGTAAAAAAGGCTCAATCCATTTTAATGCTCTTTTTAGTTTTTTTCTCCAAATCATATTGAATCAGTGGAATTGGAGTTCTTGACAATACAGAAATTTATAGTCAGTATGTCTGTATGAGTTTAAAAAGCCCATACCTGGGTTTGAGTCAGAGTTTTCCTGTTGATTACTTCTAACCTGGTACAACCCTTAGAAAATTCTAAAATTAATCAGGATTATATACTGGCAGCATTGAGTTTGATAGGATTACATTGGTAATCCTAAAAGATAAACTGCCTGTTAAAGCCGTACAATATAATGTACAAATTCTCAGCTGAGGTATCTGTATCGCTCTGGCTGCAGCAGCACATAGTTTAGCAGCATAATGAGTTTTGTATTGCTCTGGACAGTTTACTGTCAGTACCTGAACTAAATAATTTAAACCTGAACTAAATAATTTAAAATGTGCATTACAACAAAGCTGCTCTTCCATGTGTTTCAGTCTGACTGATGCTATCCAGCATAAACTAAATCGAATGCACTTTAAAATACCCCCCCCCCCCGGTATTTGTTTTGGTTTTGGAGTTGCCTTCTGTGCTTTGCCTGTGGAGCTCTCCTACCTCGGTGTGAGTGTTGTGGCCCTGAGGGCCAGGGAAACACCAACAGGGATGTTGACTCTGTGGAATGGGGGTCACCCATCGGACACTGTGGAAGTAAGCTTCATTAAAATATTCTTTCTTCCTCTTCTGCTTTCGCCACTCCCAAATGAACTCCCTAAGTTGTTGTGATTATGAAGCATTTCATTTTATTCTTTCTGTTAGTATTTGTTGTTCCAACTGATAGCGTCTTTTATTCTTACTCTTATGATGCTCTTTTTGTGGAGGGAAAAAGTTTGTAAAGAACTCAGTTCATGAAATGAAATATATTTGCACTTTTGTTGTTGTTGTTGTTGTTTCTTTTGCTTGTTTCTTTTTTTGGCCCCTGGTGGGTGTTCCAGGTCTCAGAAACTCATGCAATTACTGTAACTGCCAAAACGAGTGCTGCCTTGATAGAAAGGAGAAAACATCTGCTGTTACCATGACTGAAAGGTAATTACATAGCTAAATAAGGGAAACGAGAACAACAATGCAAAGAGTACTGAAAAATAAGTAGGACATTAACTGCAGTGCTATGTGGAACAGGAATTATGCGGAAATGCCTGCTTTAGACTCAGAAATGGTGCTCCTAGATTGTAATTGCAGTTTGATTTATACCAGTGTAAAGCAGGAGTTACTGCTACATTAGAGTCAATGGCATTACAGGAGTGTTAAAAAAAAAAAGTAATTTGTGTACGTGCTTTGGATTATCCCCAATTTTGCCATTACTCCAGCAAGAGGGTGAGTAGCACCTATGAAAATCAGGATTCTCCTCTGCAGGTGGGGCTTGCGGCAGCGCTGTGATCAGCTCTGCTCCTTGCTGACTGCCGTGGCGGCAGTTTCCGCAAACATGGAGCGGTCTCAAAGATTAGAATCAAAGCGCTTCCATATTTGAGTTATATGGCCAGAAAAAAAAATATAAAATATACATATTAAAGGTATTAGACCAGCATCGCTTTGAGAGAAAACCTCATTTGAAGTGAAGGTGGAAATGTTAAGGTGTCAAATTATCTATTGAAATGGCAGCTATTTGGAGTTCTTTAAGGGCTTACAGTGAGGGACAAGCATAGCAAATGAAAGGGGAAAATAATTAATATATTATCCATAGGAGTGTGAAGTTTCTTATATGAGGAATATTAGTATCACCTACATGGAAGGCGTACAGAGTGTAAGTAACAGATGCACACGTGGCAGTTTTATGAAAAAATAATTATCTGAAAGGCAGGAGAATTTTCCAGGTTTTTTGTAATTACTGGTTTTGAGACCTTCACTCCTGATGCTAAACTGTTTTTTCTCAGCCATGGCTTTTTTAGTATTTCTCATCTCGACTGAGATTTCTGTCTTGCACAATTTCTTTTGTACACTCCAGCTCTGTGGTAATGTATGAAAAGTTCCATGTGAATTATGTTAAGTGACTTTGGACTTGCACTGAATTTAGGCATCTGTGTCCTTTTCAAATCTGGGTGTGTTTTATTTATGGTAATGCTGGGCATCGAGGATTTCTGCTGAGTTGGTTATTCTTTCGCTAGCAGAAGCTTCTGTTGGTTCATATATGTGATGTGCATATATAGAAGTTGTACATTTTAAAACATACAACCACCAACAAAACAAAAAAGGGTGGAGGGGAGAAAATGCTAACAAGGTAAGATGTGGATTCCTGTGTAAGCATTACAACTGAATTTTTGTGCTTAAATGTGATGTTGCCCTCACTGAAATCAGCAGCAGTATTGGACTAGTAATCAGCTGTTAGTGCATGCCATACTGCTATCTGATAAAGACCTTAAGCCTCAGTTTTGGACCTGTGTATCTGTTGATTTAAATTGGAGATCCCATGATTGAAGCTCACAGCAGCCAAGTCATTAGTTACTTTTTTAGGAATGATATATTCTACTCTTGATGCCCACTGCTGATCCAAGCCTGTAAATAGCTGAAAAAATTAAGTCAATCTTGTTAGACTACTGAAAACTTTCAAGCTATCGTTGTCGTTTCCAGACTCGGAAGGAATGTGAACTTTTATAAGTGACTTTAGACTGTTAGCTGCCAGTGTGTTTTTTATTAATCGCATAATTTTCTATTATTCTTCCTCACTATTGCAAAGTCAGGTCTCAACAGCTCTGGAAACATCTGCAAGTTAGTCTTGGCAGAGTTGGCAGAAACATACTTTTTTTAGAATTTACCTTCTAAATTGAAGGAGAGAGGAACTGGTGCCTAAAGGAGCTGTGATATAATAGGAAGCAGTAAATTTACTTTTTAAAATATTTGCTAAAAATGAAGATGGAGGGGGAGATTTATAGTAAAAACAATTTAGTTTACTGTGTTTTGGAAAGAGGCATGTGGGTAGGTATGTTCAGTTTCTGTTTGGATGTGGACATTCCTGTGAATGATAGGCTACACTGTAAGTGGTACTTCCTACAAAACCCACTCCCCAAACAGGTAAGAAATAGCATTTTGCCCCAGCGACAGTGTGGATGGTCTCCAAAAAATGCTTAGTAGTAAACTAAATCATACTAAACAGAGAAAATAATCTTAATTGATGAGGAAAATTAGATGTTCCAAATGAACATGTTCCTTTTGGTATAAGTTTTTGTTGAAAAGGGGATGAAAAGCAATCATGCTAGGCTTTATAAATCTCTTGTCACATTGTACCTGATTTATTCAAAATTATAATTTCGGTTTTTTTCACTGCATGTAAAATGTACTGCAGGTGTCCCCCTAAGGAAACTATGGAGCTTGTAAGGAATCTTTCCTTTTTAACTTAACTTGTTCATATTTTCAAGGAATAATGGAGAACAGCGTACAACCATTTGTTTGTTTTCTTTCTCGGTCTTTTTTTTTTAAACCTATTTTGTTTTCTTTGCATTATTTTGTACTGTAGCAGCAAATGTTCCACCGAGGCCTAAATAATGAGATAAATAATTTACCAGTTTGAGTGCCTCATTATTCAGTGCTATCAAGATATCTAAATGATTCAAGAGCCACCTCTGAAAAAGTATGTCTGCAAGATTTTTATGAAAAGATAAACATTTGCAATATTATAATGTTTGTACACATGCAGAATTAATCTTTCTAGAACAGGAGAATGCCAAACGCACTGGTTATTGTCCACAGTCTGTGAACACTAGTTGTTCTTTTCCATAACTTGTGGTCTGAGACATTTACATCAATTCACTGTGGCAAGCTCTGTTGGATAATGTTTGTTGTTGTAGTTTGGTTAAAGCAAATATAGTGACTTACTGGAGCACGTGCAACAATAGTGTAATCATCTCTGTGAAAATAGCTGATTAATTTCCACTCTAGATATTGCCAGACCTGCATTTTTTTTCTAAATTTATATTTTTAGTGTCGTTTCATTCAAAAAGGACCTTGACTTTTCACACTTGCTGTTTATGTTTGGTGAAGAAATGGAAATGATGCAAGACTTTGGAACTGGAACTTGGAGTTTCAGAAGGTGCTCAGACTTACATTATGCTACAACTACAATTAAAGTTTTAAGCTTGGATTCTGTAAAATGCAGCAAAGAGTCATTCTTTCAACCACAGTCTACCAGGGAAATTTCTTTTTATGCTGGACTAATTCCTAGAAGGGGCTCTTCTGCCAGTATCACAAAATTGACTGAACATGGGATGAGGAGGGCACAAAAACTCATTTTCAGAATTCTTGTCTTAGCAGTAGTTCTCTGACTTATTAGGATGATGTCTACTGGAACATAATGACTTAATCAGAATTTTTCTCTGTTCTTGTCACAAGCATGTTTCTTTTTTGTGCATTGTTCAGAATCGATTTTATGAAGAGAGATATTTCAAAACTGGATTAAAACTTGCATAGTCATTTAGTCATGTCCAGTACTGTTAGTTGGTGGTCATGACTTAAAAAGTGTAATCTAGACTGAATTTATGTTAATAGTTTTAGAATAATGGAATAATGATCTGCATGGGCAGCTGACTCCCCTAGTATTTGTCTTGAGGAATATGGACAGGAGAAAGAATATGCCTTCTTGACCTACCTTAAGGTTTCCTTAAACTTTTTTTCTCCTGTATCTGTCTGACTGATTTCAGGAGGATCAATTAACTAATAAATGCCACAAATTGCCATAAATACGTGAACAAGTCATAGTACTTGTCCTCAGAATCCACAGAAGATTTTCCAATTCATTACTTTCATAAACAGTATTCAATGAATTGTGTGATATTCAGGATAGAGTAAAAGTATAAATCTGATATTCTTGTTGCAGAAAAGCTACGCCTAGAACTTTTCTCTTTAATTAAGCTCAATTTATCACAGCAGGTTTCAAAAAGTTGGAGCAATGTGAGTTTCATATAAAAGCTGGTATTAAATTTCTCATTAATCTCTCATACAGGGAGAAGAAAAAAAATTATGCAAAAATACTTGACTTTTAAAGTCACTTGGGCTTTTAAAATCACTTTTATAAAATGTAATCATTCCTTTCTGCATCCTCTTTTTCACACATTCAAAGTAATATTTAGAAAATGTTTCTTTTTTGTTTTCTTGTAACTTTGATCGCTATGAGTGTTTTGAACATCATATGGTGGGAATTGCCGTCTATTTTAGATTTTACTGTTCATTTCAAAATATTCTCACACTCAATTTCAGTTGGCATTAATTAGGCCTTTACAATATTTTTTGAACTTTGATAACAAGCCAGAACGAGCTTTGGAATGTTACAGTATTTTATGATTGTTTTAATGAAGGTGTTACAAGTCTTCTCTAGCAGAGTTGCGAATTTACCTGGAAAGTGACTTGAGGGGAAAACACTTGTGATTTTCTTACTGATACTTGTTATGGTTTCTAATCATTCCAAAACATATGTGCTCAATTTGTGAGATAGAAATTTCTTTGAACTGCGGATCTTATAAACTCCTCTTGCATATGAAAATGAAATAATCTTCTCCACATGCTATAGCTTTATCAGGAATCTTTTAAAAACTACAGTTCTGGTTTAAAATCCTTACTACCTAAAATCACTGAGAATTTGTCCTAAGAATTTGCAGGGGAACATCCATCCAGTAGAGAGTAACCATTTTTGCACAGGCGTTCCTCGAGGTAGTTCCTCACTTGATAAACCTTACTGGGAATGGAAGGAAGCAGCTGTGAAAAGAATGTTCCGCTTAACATGCTGTTTAAACAAGACAGCTTTAAGGTAGAAATAGTAACACGTAGAAGTCCTAGTCTGTCTGCTAATATGGTTTTGATTTGCTCAACCTATATATTTTTAATCTGTAACAATATTAGATTGCCAAGCAAACTTTCTTTCCTTTCTTTCCTTTGATAACTTTAAAAATGTGAAGATTGCAAAATGTGGAGGGAGTTCAGCCAGTTTAAATACCTATTCGTTTTGACAACTGTTCAGCAAACTCTCTCTTCTTGTCCATTAGTTTGCTAGAGCCTGTTCTTTCCACTGTGCTGCAACACTTCCTACTGTTCCAAATGATGCATTAAGGTTTTTATTTTGGTTTTTGTTTTGATCTTTGCCAAAGACTAAGTGTTAGTCTCTGTAAGAAGTAAGTGTGATTTTGGTCTATTTACAAGAATACAAAAGGAATGCCATTGACAGGATTTATTTTCTGTCTTTGCCTTTTTTTCCAGTGGAACAAGAGAAATTTATGCTGCAGTGAGAAAAAATGCCTGGAGCTTTCCACATCAGCTCTGCGAGAATCAGACAGATTTTGGGTTTATGAAAGAGGCTGGGAAACCAGAAACTGAACTGTAATCATTAAGCACCATTAGCAACTTAATTTTTCATATGAAAAGCAAGTGGAAAAAACATGTAACTGTAAATTTTTATTTATTGCAACTGATTGAGCTTTTCTCCTGAAGCTTTAATTGGGGATGAAGATAAGTTGGCTTGTGAAAGGTAGCCATACTACAATAAACCATATACTCTCCCAGAGCTGCCATTTTGAGCAGTGCTAATAGAAGATCATTGAAGCAGGTTTTCATAGCGCTTAGGTTTCCGCTCTGTACCAGCTCTCCCTGTTTAGTAGCCACGTGTTTAGATAACTAGATGCTATTGTATTTGGTCGGGAAAGCTGGGTCCATATAGTCAGTAAAGAAAGCGGGAGCACGAGAGTGTGATTCAGTCTTTCTGTACTTTGCATAGAGAATTTGTGTTGGAGAGTTTCCCTGAAGCTCTAGTCGTCTTTGTGCTCTGCTATATATTATTATTGGGTTTGCATTTTTTATTTATTTTTTTTTAAGTACAGCAGCATAGACTGTTTTTGGAGAGTATGTTGACTAGCTACGTACTGATGTGTTCACAGTGAATTGATTGTAGAGGATTTCCATTAGGATGCAGATGGCTGTGATTGAATTAAAAAAAAAAAAAGCTAGTTGCGGTTGGGAAGATAGTTTTGGAATAAGAATGTGATTTTGGTGAGTTCTGTGTCTATACTGTATTCATCAGCAAATCAAATAACATTAAAAATTATTCTTAATTGATGATTTTGGGAAAATTGACAAGAAGAGGTAGAGATGAGCGGTGCTCCCCTGGTGTAAAAACGTTAAGACTTTCATGAGGTACAGTATTACGGAAAAGTGACACTGCATTCTGGCATGGATTAGCCTGTTCTATTGTGTTGTAAAATAGACATATCCATGTACTTACCTAATTTTTGAAGCACATTTTAAATGCGAGTAACTTTTTACTTACTGATGTTTTTGAGTTACTTTTGCTGAATTTCTCTTGACACTGTCTGCATTTTAAAGCAACCATGTTTTTAAATTCTCTTCTTTTCCACTATGTGGGATGCTGTTGCCTATACCATTCAGGTACTTTTAAGATTACTGAAACAAAGGAAAAACCCTCCCTGCTTTCATCTTGCTATTTCCTTGCAGGAACCTCTGAAATGTCTATCTAGCTCCTTATGAAGTAACTGACATAGAAAGAGAGCGCTGGGCTCTGCAGATTCCTCACACAGATTATTTTTTGTTTAATTTCATGAAAAATTTTTATTTGAAGACAGTGGGATGCTAAAAAAGTCATCATAGTAACTAGGGCCCTTCGGATAGAAGGCAGCTAAGGGTCTCATTGGCTGGCTGAGTTTCTAAGAGAATGAGGTTTGATCTCAGAGCAGCCAGCCTCTGCATTGTTGGAATGACAGATATGCCACAGAATATCTTCTATTAGATATGTGATTTCAAAGATAAAAGACTTTTTTTTTTTTAAATTTGTTTGACGATAGAGAGTATGGAATTATTCTAGCCTAAGGAAGGTACGTGTCCAAATCA